ACTCTTGAGAGCTCTTGCGGCTTCTTTGGGGCCTCTTGCGGGCCCTCTTGGGTGCCCTTGTTGCCTCTCGGGGCCTCTTTGGGTGGGTGGGGGGGGGATTTTCGCATCCGGAGGGATCGCAAAATTGCTTCCCACAAATCATGCGGAAAGGTGCGGGGAGCCCCAGAAGATTTCTGAGTTTGGGCTCCAGGTCCTTCAAATAACTTTGAAGACAGAGGACTGAGGCTCAAGAGTGAGGTAGATGACGTCGGAACACGCCCGCTCCGTGCCTCAGGGCGTGGTGGCGCTTTGGGTCTTGGAATATCTCTGGCTTTCTGGAGCCGTATCGCGGGCCGTCTTGAGCCTTGCCGCATGTGGGGGCAATGTTTGAGCCATCGCGGGCGCTTTGATGGACCTGCTATAAGGGGGTCCGGGACAGGGGTCGCGCCCATCCCCGACAAGGAATTCGTTTGAGAAAGCAGGGATCGCTGACAGGGCCGACGGGATGCACTGTTGGGCCCCGCTACAAGAGTCACGCCGCCTCGTTTGCGACCCGCGCGGCTGCGCGCTTCGTTTGGCGTTGCGCCCCCGCCCGCCCCCCCGCCCGGGACGGCCCGCCTCTCTACCCGATGGTGTTTGCGGCAAGGGGGTGGGGCAAGGCTCTTTGGGATGGGGCGGCAGCAATCCGCCGCAGGATCCCCGGCGGCGTCGCGCTGTTTAACCTTGCTCCGGCCGGCGGCCCCGGGGAACACGTCATTTCGCTTTCATTATATATATATATTATATATATATATATAATATATATATATATATATATTATATATATATATAAACAAAAAAACAAAAAAGGCACGCCCAGCGAAACCCATCTTTTGTATATTTTCCGTTGTTTTTGGCATAATAAATAACGAAAAATTAGCGACCGAAATAACCAAAAATAGCGAAAGGAAGGGGCGCGCGGAATTGTCTGTTTCGGCCGCCGAAAAAATAGTGAGAAAATATATAAAAAGATAGGCGCCGCAAAAGTCCCCGGGGATGCACCTTTTTTCCCGCATTGTTTCGCTATTTGTTCGCTATGTGTTCGCTATTTCTCTGCCCGCCCCTCCT